CTGTATCAGCTCCGGTATATCATCCTTACTTCTGGCCCTGTATCTTGTTGCAATCTTCTTCCCGCAGCATCTCGTCTCTTTGCAATTATATCGTTGGTTACCTGACCCGTGACTTCCTAAACCCATCCCTATGTCTACCATTTCCCTTCTTTCCCTCCCTAGGTTTGTCCCTCTTTTCCTCCGTTCACTCTCTCATTCCTTGGTTGAGAGCTTCATTGTGTCCACCGAGCACCGACCTCCGTCTTTCCTTTGATTCCATCTTTGTCCATGTCCCCTACCCCTGCTCCATGTTCATAAACCCCCTTGCTCGTATTCATTATCGGTCTGTAACCAGATCCCCCTTGTTGTGTGCCTGAAGTGGTGACCCGAGGACGGAGCTGTCTCAGTTAGGACTCTGGCTCTGAGGTTCCCTGCTCTGGTTCTGTGCTCCGCTGTTCCAGCTTCCTTCTTGAAGCAGAGTTGTGCCATTCCTTCCAGCATATGCGGTCATCCCGCATCTCTGCAATTTCCCCCCCTACTAACCACGTCTTGATGAACTTGCTTCTAGCGTTCTTCCGCTGTTCTTCATCTTCTGTCCATGTACTCTTGATCCGTTTCCATTTGCATAAAATCTCTGCCTGTATCAAAACCTTTGTCTCCGCCCAGACTCTCTCCCGTGCGTTTGAAACTCCCTCGATCGTTCTGCTGCATCTTTCCTTCCATATGACCCATAGGGAGGTCTTCCTGATAAGCTCATACCAGATCCTTTCTGCTTTTCGTGGGCATTTGGGGATGCCAATCAGAAGGAGGAGTTGGACAGGTTTCTCAGGGAATGGGGAAGTGAAGAGGGAATCCCAAAGAGTGGATGCTCTCGCCCAGTAGTCTGTTGCTTCTTTGCAGTATATTAGGCAGTGTAMTATATCCTCTACTGCATTATCCGTGCACACCTTACAAAGGTCAGAACTATCCGGTGCCAAATCTTTCCTCCCGGTATGCAGCCACTGATTGACTGGTAACGCTGCGTAAGTGACTAACCACTGAAGGCTTCTGATTTTGACTGGTCTGATCATTTTATATGCTTTCCACGGGATCTTCGTAATTTTATCAGCCTCTTGGCCTAATAACTTTAGCCATCTTGCTTTGATGACGGGATCAGGATTCTTCGTTTTTAGCACAAGTTTGTACCCTAGTTTAACCGTGTATTCCTGTATGAAGGTACGCTTCTTGATAATTTTCTCCTTGTCTGGTTTCCATGCCCACTCCCCCGGGTCGAACTCTAGGTCTCGAATGGCCGTGTCGATTCTGAAGATCGATTTAGGCCACTCCCCTAACACTCTCACTTTTCTAAGCGGGAAATATTCCATGACTGTGGTTTCTACATCAGCGTTCACAACCAACGGCATGCCCTTCGCTGTGTGCGTGATAGGGAAGGAAGTGAAAATTGCCTGGGTGGTCGATCCTTGTTGTAAATGTGAAAATTGAAAAGCTCTAGAGGGTCTGTTTTCTTGAATTTTAACCCCCCATTCTCCACTATTCCATTCCCCTCCCTGTTTCAATGTCTCTTTCCACTCTGGCGGGACAAGCCCCGTTATATACTGTAGATTGAGGCCTCTTCTGTGACATCCCTTGAGCAGAATACTCAGCTCCTGCTCAGTTATCCAGTCCTTCCTGTCATCGTTCCATAGGTGTCCAATTGTCCAAACCCCATTTTTTACCCAAGAGAGCCACCTATGGTTTAGGAATAGAGACTGATCGCTCTCGCTCCTCACTCACTCATTACCAAACAATGGTTGCCTCAATATTTCGGCTTTAGACTTAGGTCTGTTGGATTTCTTAGGCATAATTGTTCTCCAAATCCGGATGAGAGCCGCCCAGTATGGTGAGTGAAGACTATCCGCGTTCTGTGACATTTCCGTTCTGCCTCTCCTCCTCCTCTTCTCAGCGACCATTCTTTGTTCGTTACCCAGAATAGACCTGTCATGTTTCTTGGCGATCGGGGCTAACGCCCTTATACTGTCCAAGGCGAGATTGTTCCATGCCGTTTCTGGTTTTGTTAGCAACCGAACCACCCATTTAACTTGGAGAGCTTTTGTCTCA